CGTCGCATTGCATGGCTGAAATCTGTCGATTCACTATTTAAGGGAGTTGGTCTTATGCTTTTAGCTCACTTCAGGCGCATTTTTCCATTATTTTTTCAGTGGATGCATGCTGATGACGATGAGACTATTATTTTGGTGAGTACCTTTATATGTATTGAAGCTTTGGACAACACTTTGTAAAGTTTATCTTACTGAACCAAAATTATTGGCTGTAACCTGCAACTATTGAAATAGATGTAATTTCAAAATAGTTGCTATTGTTTTAACTTGGATGATGTTTCAACATTGGCTTTCTTTTCTCTTTATATGGTCATGACATTGATAAACATATATGCCACTTTGTTCTTTTAGTATTTAGTAAAAAGAAAAAAAGTAAATTCTGATTAACTCTTTGATATGTTTTTATTCTGCAGGTTCTAAAATGTACTCATAGAATTTTGAGACTGACATGGATTAGGAACTCACCATTTGTTGCAAGGTGAGCTAAAAAATTGCCCTATGGAATTCTTATTTCAAATATATGTGGCATTGATGTTCTTGAGAAATAGGGTATCCCTCTTTGATTAACTTTTGGTGGCACTTAAGCATTTCCTTTACTTGTTTGTATGGTCGTCATTCGCCCCATTATTATTCTTATTATTAATGATTACTATGTAATCATCTGATGTAAATATTGTGTTGACTTGATCTCATGATTATTTTTTTTTCTCCCTATGCTATGATATGAAGTTTCTTTTCATTTTTAATATGTTTACAAAAACAGAGGGTCAAGAAAGAGAATGGGCATAAGATGGGACCATGAGTTACTGATGTTCCTGTTTGATATTTATTTCATCAAGGAATGCTATTTGTTCTCATATTTTTCAACAGTAATCCTCTTGGTATCCAACTCTAGAGAAGTGATGCATAGGAGGTTAATTCCATTGACATACTAGAGACCTAGACTACATCTAGTTCAACTCTTTCTGCATTCCTTTTCTTCAAAATTTGTTTTTTGGAGAATTCTGAAGTTACAGAAATTAATCTTTGTTTCCACTTAAGTGATGGAATCCTGCCTTTGTGGATATAAACATATTAATTTCTTATCCTATCGTTGTCTTGTTGATATAATTCATTCGGACCACATGATTTGACTTCAGATTGGTAGATGAACTTGCTCTTATGCATAAGGAGGCAGCATTAAGAACAGCTCGGGAAGAGATTAGAGCAAATATACGTCATATACTGATCCTACTTCAAGAGTAAGGTTTTACTTTTTGGATTAATTCCTTCAAGTGATATATTCATTCCCTCATTTAGTCGATGTCTCTTCTTTGTACCCAGAAGCAAAGGCCTACATTTTAAAGCGGCTTGGGACAAGCATCGATCTGATCCAGATTTGACCACTCTTGATTTGTCATTAAGTAGAAGAACTAATACCAACCTCGATACCATGCCTTCAGAGGATTGTCGTCAGCAGGGTTCAGTACCGGTTCAATGATAAGTTGATAGCATTTCTGATTATTTCAGTGTACCACAGGTTGAGTTCATATGGGTACATGTAATTAAAAACTAGAAATCTTGTAGCGTGAATAACAATTATGCAAAGTTTGATTTTGTTTTATATTTGAATTCATTTGTAGCTATTCTCTACTTCAAAATTCTCAAATGGTATTAAAGAAATTTGACGATGGGCAAAAGTATGAATTTCATCATTAATAAATGAATGTAATTAGTGTTGATATCCAGTTTTACAACTCTTTCCTCTAAGAATAAATGACAAAAAGTGCTCAATTATCCTAACATAAGTAAAGTCACTTATTGCAACTTTTGTACTGTGAGCATGGGCAATTTCTGCATTGTTGCTAATACAATGAGGAGCCCATTCATTTAGGTCTGACGTATGGGGAAAAGATTTAGTCTGAAAACTCCGGATTCTGATCCCAAGCACGCTAAACAAAATTGCCTCCTGGAATCGGGAGGTTGTCTGTGCAGTAAAGAAGGTCAGTTTGAAGTCACCATCATCAATATTAAATAAATCAAAATCAGAATCACCACAGGTACCTCACAATCGACCTGCCTATGATCCAAGATATCCTAAAACCATTCAGTTTGAGCTCATCTGCCAAACCACACCCCATTCTGGGAGTGGGAATAGCACTTGCAGCTTTCGTATACTTTTTCCATTTGCATAAAATACTTAGCCACCAACTACACCCTCGTTCTCCCTCGTAGATTCCATTTGGTTTATCCTTTTTCACGTTGTCACGCTCACGCAGTTGACATTAATATATGGTTTTAACTTGGAAGAGGTTTCGACATTGGCTTTCCGTTCTGTTTATATGGTTTTTGACATAGATGAATATATGTTCTATTTTTTTTCCTTCCTTTTAGTAATTGGTAAAAAGAAAAGGAAAAAAAAAGAGCAAATCCAGTTTAACTCTTTGATATGTTTTTATTATGTAGGTTGTAAAATGTACTTATAATTTTGAGACTGACGTGGATAAGGAACTCACCATATGTTGCAAGTTAAAAATTACAGTGAAATTTTACTTCTAACAAATGTGGCATTGAAGTGCTCGAGAAACAGGGTGAGGGTATCCCTCTATGATTAACTTGTGTTAGCACTTGATTTCAATTCACTTGTGTCATTATCATCTTTACTAAAATATCAAAACATTAATACGTATTACGTAGTCAATTTCAGTGTACCAAAGTTAAGTTCATGCAAGTACATGTAATTAAAAATTAAAAATCTTGGAGCGTGAATTAGAAATATGTAAAGCTTGAGTTTGTTTAATGTTCTTCGAATTCATTTGTTACTATTCTCTATACTCTAGTTTAAAATATCTCAGAAATGATACAAAAGAAACTCGAGGATGGGCAAAAATATGAATTCTATCATTAATAAACGAATGTAAATAGTGTTTGAACAATAGATGTATCGATATCCAATTTTACAACTCTTTTTCCTCCAAGAATAAATGACAAAAAGTACTCAATTATCCCGACACAGGTAAACTAGAGAAACATCAAAGTCACTTATTGCAACTTCTGTACTGTGGGCTACTTCTGCACCGTCGCTATTACAATGAGGAACACGTTCAATGAGGCCGAATGTGTGGGGAAAAAAATTGTATATTAGAGTGTAAGAAAACTCTGGATTCTGATCACTAGCATGCTAAACAAATTTGCCTCCTGGAATCGTGAGCTTGTGTGTGCAGTAACAGAAACTATATTGTAAGTTCAATGCTGAGTTGATAAGAATGATGCATTAGTATCACTTGCTTCGCTTTTTGGCTTCACTGTAGAGTATAACTCCAAAGACTGTGAGTGAGTAACCCATCATTCCAGTGACTGACACAGGGTTCCTGAATATTAGAATTGAAACCACTACTGCTACAGCACCTTTAGCATTTCCAAGTACCTGTATCAGCCAACTCTTAGATTATGAAATTGAAATCATCTAAGAATAATGACCAGAAATTAAACAGAAAAACAATAACTTGAGAAAAGATCAAAATCAGACTCATAAAATGTACATTTTGCCACCAATTTGTTTATTTATATCCTCATTTGAATCACACAGCTTTCATTAATCCAAAAGCATCAAGTGATATACAAAAAACAAAATAAAAGAGAAATTTGAAACAGGTATAGATCTCATTTTTGAATGCATGTGTCCATGAAAAATAACCTATACACTAAATTGTATAATTTTTTTGCAAATTTACACATCAATTAATTATCCCAAATTCATTGCTAACTTGATCAGGGATTTATATGGCAGAAGGTATCAAATAGGATCATAGGTAAATGGGAAACCAGCAAATTAGGTTAACACAGTTATAACTTATAAGTCATCCCACCCCAAGTAGGAAAGAATGTACTCATCAGCAAGTTCTGATTACAAGTCATCTTGAACAATTGGTAACAAATACGGCTATCAACTAACTTGAACACTGGAAGCACAAAACTTGAATAATTGAACCTTGGACAGAATTTCACTAAACTATTCAACCACATAGGCTTAGATGCTTGTGAACTATCGACAGCAATATTTGAAAATACTGGCCTAGCACTAGCTTTAGAGATCTTGCAGAAAGTTTTTGGCGGAATCCCCTGAATTAAGTTCGCATGAACTACTTACAAAATATCTAATAATCACATAATTCAAATTCTCCCCTTTAGTACAAACTGGGAGACATGTCTAAGTAAGAATTTTTAGAAACTAGAATGCAAATGCAAAATGCTAGCCAATGTAAAAATTTACATGACTTGAGGTAATTTGTTTTCCAAGAACTTCATTCTCAGATAGAAAAAAAGGGGACAAAATGACAGAACAACATAATTTACAACCACCGATAACCTTGCAAAAAAACTAACAAAAGACAAAAGTGACCAAGAGGATGCTGATAATGTGATACATATCTAGTGATTTGATAACAAACACATTTGACAACCACCAAAATCTGATGTCCCAACCACCCACAGATGAGGCAACAGACAGTTTGTTGGAGTGAAAAGTACATTTAGAAAAACAAAGAGGACTGGGAGCCAATTTGAATAATCGGAACTTACCTGAAGGGTCAAAGCACTGGTATGTTTCGTGACCAAAAAGTTGGTCAGGTTGACAAAATATGCAAGAGACGAATTAAACAGCAGATACCAAATGATCTTGGAATCATCTCTGGCAAGAGCCAACGTGATCCCAACCACATTCTCTTCCATTATAAGCGTTGCAGGAAGAAGGAAAACCACAGCCATTGGTGCCATGTAAAGGAGAAGGTTCATAGAATTCAGCTTCTCTCTGACACACAAAAAGTCCGTCAGTACCCATTTGAACATATAACTTGAAAACCAAAGGAAAATACAGAGAAAAACAACCATAGTTATCTTCATTAAGTTTTAGTCCTTATGCTAATTAATCTGGAGTTTCTTAATCCTGACTTACCCTTCAGAAGAAAGCAAAATCCCTTGTAGCACTGATTTTAGAGCCCTTGCACCCGTAGCCGCCACACATATGATAAATCCAAATAGATGGAAACTCGGTTCACCCTAAGGCCAAACATAGGAACAAGATAAGACACACATATCAGAAGCCAGAATAAATATTTGGATAAAACTTGGACAACAGCTTCTTCTGCTGGTACTGTTCTCCAATCAGAATCAGAATTTCCCCAGTAATACGCGATAACATTCAATGAAATGAAATGAAATCCTTTATTAAGCAAATTACCAATAAAAAAAAACTCCAATTCTTATCGGAAAACAACATTAATAGTAATATATGCAAGTTTTGTCCTTTATTATTTCCATGTCTAACCAATCAGAAACCACATCTGAAACAACAAACCTAAAAAACAAAGAAAATATGAAAAGCATTAGAAGGAAACATGTTATGGAAAGTTTGATACATACCCCGCTGGCAATGATGACCCCAGTGACGACAGGAACGAGGGTGAGATACGTGAGCCAAGCCTCCCTCTTGAACGTCATAAGGTAAGCAAAAACGGCGGTGAAGAAGGGCGTGGTGGCGCCAATAGCCTGGTTGAACGAAACAGGAAGGTAGCGAAGAGAAATGTTCCCAAACACAACGGAGACGCAGAAAACGAGGCTCAAAGCAGAGATCTTGAAGAACTGCACCCTGGATCGAATTGTCTGCAACGGCACCACCTTCATCCACGCTATGGCCACGTAACTGAGCAAGGAACACGCGGTCATGTGGCACATGGTGAGGAAAATTGGGTACTTGAAGCCGTAGTTGCTGAGCAAGTACTTGTTCAACAGAAGCACGCCAATGTTGGAGGAGTACCACGCGGCCACCAACCCCACCGTGAACAACCGGTTCGAACCCTTCATTTTGGTGCCTCCGGTTTGATCTTCGGAACCCTGCGGTTACGGACACGGGTTAATGGGATCTGGGCACTAGAAAAGGCGTCAACTTTGAGTGTTTGACTTTACGAGGACAAGCCATGGATCTGGTCGGAATCCATGGCTTGGGGTCGGAGAAATTGAGGACAGTGGTGGTGGGTCTGCGTCGGATTGAGGAGAAAGGTCGTGTTTTTTGAGGATGACGAAGCAGAAGAAGATGAAAATGTGTGTGTGCGCCTTGTGTGTTTCAACCTCCCAAACGCTAACAGACCCAAACTACGGAGACAAGTAAAGAGGAAAGATAGAAAGAAACTCTGCATTTAAAGCTGCACAGCACAGCATGTACAGAACTAACATTTATTATTATTAGGAAATAGTATTAACAGTATAAAGAGTTTTTCTACGCTGACTTTTATTACAAATTTTTACAAATACCTTCAAAAAATTATTTTTAGTAAAAGTGAAACTAGATTTGGTGCTTTTAAAAATAACTTCCGAATCTTGTAAATTAAAAGGCAAATAAACAACATGATTAAAACGACAGATTTTACTGGAAAAAAAAATAGCAAGTTTTTTTTGACAAAAATAAATTATCAATAAACTTAGTAATCAATATCATAATTAGAATCTTATAAATGAAAAATTTGATCGAAACGGAAGATTTTACTTTAAGAAAATAATTAGTAAGTTTTTTGACCATAATTAATTATCAATAAATTTTGTAATATTTTACAAACTCATAATTGTATATTTAGGATAGTTTTTGACCGAATAAATGCAGGTAAAAATATATATTAAAAAAATTATAATTTCAGTTATAGGAATGATTATTGTTATTATTATCGTAAAAACGTAAATGGGAATTTAGTTTAGGCTGATTTGCACCATTTACTCGTTTCGTTTGTAATTATGGTATGGTGTACGTTGCAAGAAAAGTATAAAGAAAGAGTTAAAACTTAGGAATAGGTTTGATTAATGTTGATAGTAATGTAACTTTTTCTTTTTTTTTAATTTGCTTCGTGCGGTGGTGGAAAAAATAAATGAATCTATTTTATTTGGGGTTTTATTTCCTTCTTATCGCTTCTTGTTATAAAATGGGGAAATAATAATTGGCACTTGTTGTGCAGTCAACGGCTGGATGAATTTTTTTGAAAGGTTCTCTATATTGTTTGTATATATATGAAATAATAAAAAAGTGTAGAGAGTGCAATAATAGGGTATGTGTTACGGAATAAAAAGATGCTGGAATCAGACAAAAATATATTCTGGAAAAAGAGGAGAATAATTTCGTAGGAAACAAATCAGTAAGGGAATCGTGTTTGGGAGGTTGAGATCCATGATGCAGCCACGATTTTGTACAACTGGTGCGTTACGAGTGGAATGAAAAAAATGTTTAATAGCAATAGATAAAGAATGAGTCCAACTTAGGCGCAAAAATTGGACTAGTATATAATTATTATAGCTGAACGCAACGCGCTTTTACGATGCTACGTGGTTCGTGTTAGGCACAGGAAGTTGACCAAAATAAAAGGGTTAGGCATATGGAGGTGCCAGGAAAGGCCGTCCAAACGCCGCCTTGTTTGTTTTCTACGTTCTCTACACTCTTTTCCGAAAACAAGCAACATTTCTCAAAGGGTGTAGCATGTGATTTGTGAATATTTCCCTGCACAAAATTAGGGTCATGTAGGAAAGAAAAAAGACAATGTTTGGGGTATGACCAATTATGCTGTGGGAGAAGCTACATTACAAGACTTGGTAACACGTGAGTTGAGTTCACCGTGATTTGGTGAAGCAACAAATACTAATAGTGCTTTTGTAGAGTCTTGATACTTGATAGTGTCTACTTGTTTGAAAATCATTTTTCCAATTTTAAACAAAATGGCACGTGTAGGGTATGATTGCTGAAAATGTCTTTGTGGAGGTAAAAAAGAGATGAACCGTGTCCTTGCTAGATTTGAATGTGACCTGACCAGAGACCGCGTCTAGGATTGATGAGGTGCAGAGTGGGGACCCATTGCGTAAATAAATGGATCAAAAATGTCAAGACTGGAATGCAACATAAATTTTGACTCTTCTACTGCATCTCATTCTTTTATGGACACAAAATGGGCTTTTACTATTTACACTCTCTGCATTTGTTAAACACACTTCTTTTATGTAAAATCATTTTTTTTTTGGCAAGTAAATAATCTTATTTGACTAACTATTTTTTATGTTGCGGTAGAAAAATAGGAGAGGAGAGTCGGGGAATTTTCATTACATGAGAAGAGAAACAAGGAGAGAGTGTGATGAAACTCTGAAAGTGTGAAACCATATATGAGGGCGTACGGTGGAACTAATAAATGAAAAGAAGAAAAATGAGGTAGTGTAAATAGCAGAAGTCAGAAAAATAGACGATTGAGCCCTTTTTACCTTTGGGTTCGCAAGATAGTCTTCGTGGATTATACTTTGATGCGGGCCTTGGGCCCAATTATTCCCTTTTCTTTTAACTTTTTCTCTTCTATGTGGTGAGATTATTATTATTATTATTATTATTTTTTGGATTTGTGGACTGTGGTAATGTAACCGGGGACTTGTAACAACTCAGGAATTGAGTTGTCAATGTGAGTCCGGCTTACTGCTGCAAATAAGGTTAGGTCACACCTTAAAAGAATGGCTCATGATATATATATCTTTTTTTTTTTATTTATAAGTACATCTCTTTTTTTTAAAAAAAATTATAAAATATTATAATTTTTTTAAAAGAATTTAATTTTACTTTCAACTTTCAATTTGTTACTTTCTTCTTCTTATTCACACACTTTTTTTTCTCTTTTAATTTTTACATGTTACCAAAATAGGTAAAGTGAAGGAAAAATAAGGGGGTGCATGTAAAAATTGAAAAAAGGAAAAAAGAGGTGTGAAAAAAAGTACTAAATTAAATGTTGTGGATGTAAAATTAAAAAATTTAAAACAAAAAATTAAGAATATTTTAAAATTTTAATTATTTTTTTTGAAAGGAGGTGTACTTATAGAAAAAAAAAAAAAAAAGAGGTGTATATATCATGAACCTAAAAGAATAGAATCAATTTATTTTTGCTTGACCCACTATATTTGATAAGTTAAATAGGTCCAGGTTGGAGTAGCTGTAAACTTATAGAACGATTCATTAAAATGAAATAATTTAAATTATTGTGAATCTATAAATTTATAATTTATTATAAAATGATATAATAAAATATAATAATAGTAACAATTTTTACTCTTTTATGTTTACTTACACAATTGTGATTACAAATTTAAAATCAAGATTAGTTGCTAGGAGGGTTTTGTCACTCTTATTGTATCTTTGATGATTTATTATTTTTAATGTGTGAAAGTATGAAATTTATTATTTGTGTGATAGTTTTACATTTACTCTGCAACCTTTTATTATTATTTATTATATCCTTATTTGAGCATTAAATTGTGAACAATGCGATATGATTTTTAAAAAATAACTAGGTTGGTCTTTCAACATCAAGAAGAAAAAAAATGACAAAAACAAAATTTGCATAATTTATATGCAAAATACTACTATAATAGCTTTTGTAATTAACTTGCCGTGACAAAGAATATCATGAGTGCACAAAAATAATTAAGTATTTTATGATAATATATAATATTAATTAATTATATTTTTTAATTAAATCAATTTGATTTGACGGCTTGACATTGATAAGATTAGAACAAAAAAAATGACAGTCCAAAAATAATATAAGTCAAGTCAATCCCATCTAAAATAACATTTACGTAGTGCTTGTTTTGGGTGATTTACTGTTTACGAGCAACGAAAGACGAGGAAAGTTGGTGTTTGTTTCTACCGATTTGCGACGATGGAAAGGCGAAGAAAAGCGAGGAGAAGTACTGTTGCTCTCCTCGCACGAGAGGGAAGAAAAGAGGTGAAAGACACGTAGGATTTGTGAAAATCCAAAAATGCCCCTCCCATGCATGTGCCATGCAGCAGAGGATTCACGTTCAACGAAGGAGCATAATCGATTGGCCACATAATCGATTATGGCCTTGCATAATCGATTATGGGTGAGGCATAATCGATTATGCAAGGTCATAATCGATTATGTGGCCAAGCATAATCGATTATGCTGGGGTATTTTC